CCCGGGGAGGGGGCCGAGTCCCCAGCCCTGGGGGGATTTAACAGCCGGGCAGAGGCGGTGCTGAGGGCCAGGGTTTGGGGGTGGGATGGCAGGTCTAGGCGAATGGTTGGGCTTGATGATCTTAAAGCTCTTTTCCAACCTAAACGATTCTATGATTCTGTACTTTTCCTCTGGTGGATCAGCCCCAGCACAGTTCTTTCTATGCAAACCTGGATTCTCTTCCATACAGCAACTGTTTTTCTGTCCAGCCTTCTTTTGAATAAGTGCTGCTAATGCAGATCTCACTATTTCACTTCCAGTTTAGATCAATTCACTGTAAATACAAATTCTGAACATTCAGTTTGAATTTACCTACTACTTCTTCATCCCATTGTTCACAGTTATTTACAGCTGCAGCCGTGCCCACAAACGGAGCGCTATTCCGAAGTTACTACTCGTTGACTAAGAGAAATCACACATTAGCACAGCTAGTTGCACTGTTAATGTACTTCCACTTGATTTGCTAGCTTAAAGAGCAAATGAAACCACAGAAATAGCTCCATCTTCATTAAATGAAGGGCAGACTACATCTATACTACCAATTTGGGCTTTGGAGGCAATCACATTTACAAGTAAACATCCACGACTTCTTCTCTGGACCTCTGAGTTGCTCTTATGAAGTAAATCTGGACAGACTGACCAGAACTGCAGTTGCCACTACGCTTGATCCTACACTGAAAAACAGCTGAGATTTTGCCATTAGATCTGGTAACACTTTCCGGGGAGCTTCAAATACACAGCACTGTTAACTGGCACCAGCAGGAACACTCCCTGAATTATCAGCAAGAAATTTTCTTCCCCCCTCCCCGCTTTCAGCAGCAACCCCAGTCTCTGGGAATGGTATTTCAAAAAAAATATATTCTTTCCTCTTCCAGGCATACAATCCTTTCTATTATTATATCCTTAAAAGTGATATGTGTGTCTATCTTAACTTGCAAATTTCTGTTCAAAGGGCTTGTGTTCTGTACAAAGTTTTTTTGGAGAATGGAGAGCTTGGAAAACAGACCAGAAATTGTTTTTTCTAGTTGTTAGTGATGGAAGCAGAAGCTCAGGATCCCAGTCCAACTGCCTCATGACAATGCCTCAGCTCTCCCACCTACAAATTAGAGAACTCCACTTTCTGCCCAGAGCCAAGAACTATTTCCCTCTTTTAAGTGCCATGGGATAAAGGAACATCAAGACATCACAGCTGAAAACTGGTGTACTATTATTTACATGAATATATCGTACGACCTGGGGTCCTAATCAGGAATCCAGGTCATTGCTATGTATACAGAAATGAACTCCGCAAATTTCGGTAGCCATAACAGCTCTCTTATGGACTGTCTTTGCTGAACGTTATTTTGTTTACAGACACTTGTCAAAAGTCAAGAACAACCACCATGAAAGAAACCCCATAAAATTAGGAAACTTGATGGATCTACATGGCGATGTTCTAAAATCAGAAGGCGAAACCCTGGTATGATGCAATATTATGGATCTAGATCATCTGTGGTCACAAAACTGCCTAACGCCTAACTTTACGGAAAAATGACAAAAGGTGTAAAATTAAGAAATGGTGTATACTTGAACTGCCCGTTCTTATGTTGATGCAAGAAACTGAGGCACCAATTAATGAAGAAAAGACAACATGAGAGCCACTACGATCCTTCTCTTGGCACATAACTAAACACCATCCTTCTAGCAAGCCACTGACTGCCATCCGCTTTCGCTGGCTCCAACAAAAAAGCTCACATTTACTAATAATAACAAAACTTAGGCTCGAGTTTACAATGTTGTGGGTAACAGGAGATCGCCCTAGTGACGGAGCTAACTTTCAGAACTGGGCAATGAATGACGCCCCTCTTCTGGCAAACGAGGTTTTCTTTGTGTAGTCCAATCATTTTTGTGATTTAGAAAAAACTCGCTACTGAAACAGTAATTCTTACCGTAACACATTTTACAACTGAATAAGCTATAAACATTTTTATTTGATTGGATCAAACCAGATTTTTCATCGTTCTGAAACATTTTCTTTAAATTCTAACACAGACTTCTTACCTTGTAATGTAAATGTCTAAAAGTTTCTACAATAAAAAGTGATTTCCACTTGAAAATCTGAAATTATGTGAATCCTGAAACCCCATTTTGTGAAAAAAACACCCCAAATTTGAGAAGTTTTCAGGCAGCTCTCCTGGTAAATAAGACATTTTCAAGGAGATCACAAAGCTAAGCAGGTACCAGAGGAAGGGCACTACCGGAGTAGTTAAATTTGGTTTCTGTAGCTGACAAGGTAATTTTAGAACCTGCCCCTCCTTCTGCCTGCTGGCTTATTCCTTCTCCACATTAACGATACGCCTCCACATTAACGATACGCCTCCTCCTTCCCCCACTCGTTCAAGCCGCCTATAATACTTGTCCAACCCTCAACTCACGCTCCCCAAAATGGTATCTCCTCCTCAACTTCACGTGATAATATTATTCTCCATCACCATATTGTGCTTTTAACCTTTGACAGAGCACAAGCTGGGTTTATCAGAGAAGAGATCGTACTCAGAAGTTTTAGTCTTCAAGGAAAAGGTCTCATAGCTACAAGGTAACCAAGACCATACAACCTCAACCGTAAGAGCTGATTTTCGTCCGCAGCCTCCAATGTTTCTGTATGCACAACTCTACCAACACATTCACGATTCATTCCCATCACTTATTCCAAGGTCTCAACAGGACTGGTGGGTGATACATCATGACACAAAGCACAACACTTAAAGCCTCCCAACATTTCAGGAAAGTAGGTGAGAATGGCTGAGTTTTCAAGACAGAGGAGCCATGGAAAAAAATTCAAGACTTCATCACTGTTTTGGTTTGTTCATGGAGAAGTTGTGAAAACACTATGAATTTTTTGACTGCAGTTCTTCTTGCTAGCAGCAAATTAGTTCATCTACCTCCAGTTCTGTTTCCTATCAGCCAGGTACACCCTCGCTAAGGGACAGGGAAAGGACATGGGATGCTTGAATTTCTCTTCACAGCTACAAACCGCAGCCTGTTCACAATCTGAAAAGTTCCTGAAAACTACAAATGAAAAATGTGAAGCAGTATGAACAGGAAAGGAAAGAAAAGGAAAGAAAAGGAAAGAAAAGGAAAGAAAAGGAAAGAAAAGGAAAGAAAAGGAAAGAAAAAGAGCAGGCACAAGTAAATCCTGCAAAGGCACACTGCTTTAGCTGAATACCTTCAATGAAGAAACCAAATGATCTCTTTTGTAGAAAATGACAGCCTTTTGTAGAAAATGACAGAGGAAAGAAAAGGAAAGAAAAGGAAAGAAAAGGAAAGAAAAGGAAAGAAAAGGAAAGAAAAGGAAAGAAAAGGAAAGAAAAGGAAAGAAAAGGAAAGAAAAGGAAAGAAAAGGAAAGAAAAGGAAAGAAAAGGAAAGAAAAGGAAAGAAAAGGAAAGAAAAGGAAAGAAAAGGAAAGAAAAGGAAAGAAAAGGAAAGAAAAGGAAAGAAAAGGA